ACTTATACATAAAACATCCTACAAGTAAATGAATATAGAATTATTTTCATATGATAAATTAAATTTTACAATTTTAGTAGATTTTGTTTTAAGAAAATAGAAAATTGTTGCTATATGTATTCGTTCCATATCTGGTGTCAATGCTTTTAAACAAAATATAATATGACGTCGTTTTTCATCTATAGAAATATAAGAAATGTATTGTTTTTGAGCAGTAATTATTGTTTTATTTACCTTTTGAATTTGGATTGAAACCTTTTCCATGTTCATCAGATGTTGGAATAAATTTGTCAAAAAGTACTGCAAATTCATTTCGAACATGAATAAATGCAGCTGGTGTTTGAGATTCGAATGAAAAATAAAATTTAACTACATCTGAATAAGCTAATTTTATGCTTAGATTATCCATAAAATTCTCTAAATATATATATGAATAATATAATAATTTTATTTAATATTTATTTCTTACTTGATAGATTCATTTCAAATTCTGTTTCTTTCATAAGAACAATTTCAGAATCAATATTAAATTCTGTAATACCAAAACGAACACTGGAACAACGAATTTCAAATGGTTTTTTATAAATATCTGAATATTTAGATGGTAATGGTGATACATGTATGATATCTTTATCTTGAATAATCCAATTTGATGGCTCATATTTATTACTATTATTAGTTGTCAATAATTCTTTTTCCTTTACAGGAGTTGTAATTTTAGTATTAATTTTACTATTATGATCAACATCATCATCATCATCATCACTTAGACAAATGACTAAAAAAAATATTTTAAAAAAAAGTCTATAAAAACAAATCTAGATGAATTACTTTCTGGAGGTAATTTTGTTTTTTTGGCCATTCGACCGTTTGTGATTACAAACTCATGTTTTGTTAACTGAAAATGTTGAAAACAATATTGTTGGATTTTTGTTGTCGACGATATGTGACTATTTCAAACAACTAAAAAATAAGATTAAATTTCTAGTAAGTAAGCAAAAACAAAACAAGTTAACTAACGTAAAGAAAGAATTGATAAGATTAAATATAAAATTTGTTGGTTAAGACTAAGTTATTTAAATTAAATTAAATTATATTGATGAATAAAATAAATCATAATTTAAAGTTTGTCTTTTTTTGTTTTATTCATTATTTCAATCGATGAAGAAAGAGGTTAAGAAATATCTATCTGATTCATTTATATATTTCATTGGTGCATAATAATCAACAGATGACGTGCAATGTGCAGATGATATTGCAAATATGTATATGAAACAATATTCGATAGTAAAGATAATAAAATTGAGGGAGATTTTTGTCGACGTACAGGTTTACCAAACGAAGTCACACTAAGAAATTGATAGAAAAAATAAAATATGACCGACTAAAGTATTGCATAATATAGCGACATAGAGAGACTGGAAATATTACTCAAAATATCTTATGGTATTATATGAACAAGAATGGCAAAATTATTAATGACAAAGCTAAAATACAGATTCACATGATTTAGTTATTGACTCATTTTGATCTAATTTAATTAAAAAGATAAATACCAGGGATTTAGTACTGCATTTTCCTATTTATACTTTTTGAAGATTTTTCTCCTTACATTAGTTGTTATTGTATAAATAAAAATTTCGTTTTTCTTTTCTTTCTTCTACTTGTTCGAACATTTTTAAAATTTTCAAAATTACTGCACATGTCGTCGTTTAAAAAGACCGACAGAAAATTTGAAAAGCTCATTTTTTTGCTGATGCATCGTCATAACAATAAATTTTATAAATAAGGTAAGAGGAATACAAACAAAATGTAAATATAACATTCCATTATTCATATGTCCAATTTCTTTATTCTCCTTCATTTTTTATTATTGAAATACTTTCCGAATAAAGTACAAATTGTTTTTAGAAGGTGGCATATTACATCAGAATGAGCATTAAATTTGCTCTAAAATAAGTGATATCACGAATCATTTGGCTTGAAAATCATACTATATCAAGAAATGTAAATGATTGAATATATTAGAATTATTGATATTCGCAAATAAAAAACAACAGTACAAATAAAAAAATTAAAAAGTGTCCATTTGAGCGACATGCAACAGTAAAAATAATTGTTTAACTAATACTAATCTTATCGGCAACCCATAGGCGCCACCAAGTATAGTACCATTACTCATTAATATTCCTCAGTGAATGGTGTTTAACATTGTATTCCTACTGCTTCTCTCTGTGAAATATGCAATATATTATTCGGATTAGTTTTCGTTTTAGATGGTACAATCAACACATAAACGGTACATAATATCACTGATTATCAATGTAATATTAGTCTCAATTATTATTTATCAAAGAAATACAGCTACAAAATTTTCTCATATTCATTCAATGTTCAACGATTCTGAAGCAAATAGATGTTACTCTCTGAAATCTTTAGTAATGCCTGAAGAAATTATCGATTTAAATGCAATAGCTGCATATGGTCGACCAATCAATTCATCAAATACATCAAAAGAAGTAACATTTAATCAAGTGCATTTAATATTATATGGAGATCCATCAACTAAACTAATCTATGATAGTGCTCACAAATATTTTAATAAAACACTTGATCAAACATATCCACATACTTATCTTAAAAAAGATGTTTTTAGTTCACTAATTCAAAAGATTCATCCATCATTAAAACTCCAATTTGTTGTTGAAATTGGATCATTTACAGGAAACTCTGCATCGAATATAGGAAATGTTTTAAAAGAATCATATCCAGGGTCATTTCTTTTATGTATTGACACTTGGCTTGGAGATTTGAATATGTGGGTACATAAAGCTGTTTGGCAACATCTATCAGTAAGTGAAGATGGTCGACCAACTGTCTATTATCAATTTCTTACAAATATTATAAAACAAAACTTAACTAAAATAGTTCTACCAGCATCAATGACATCAATCATTGGTGCACGTTTTCTTCGAACATTTCAATTTCATCCACAAGTTATTTATCTTGATTCAGCACATGAACAAGGTGAGACATTAATTGAATTATCATTGTATTGGAATTTGTTACAACCTGGTGGAATTCTTATTGGTGATGATTGGGGATGGCGCTCGGTTCGATGTGATGTTAAAAAATTTAGCTATATGAAAAATGTAACTATAGAACGTGCTGAAAATACTTGGATTATTAAAAAACCAGTAGATTAATTTAAACATATTCTATTTTACTGACATATGATTGACAAGTCTTGTTCTTATTATTAAAATAATAACAATATGGTCGTTCTAATGCAATATTTTTTAATAACATAACTTGTTGGAATTTTTAGTCAATTTGTTTATAAGTAGAACGAATCTAAAAATTCATTGTGAAAATCCAAAAAAATTTTGTCGAACTAATTTAGTGTTACATATTTTTTACAATTCTTTTGAAGATGTCTTTATTTACGAAGATGTATTTGTTGTTTTATCAAAATATAATGAAGTTAGAAAATTTGTTCAAATTGATGAATATAATAGTAAGCCTAAAAGGAAAAGTATTGATCTAATTAACGCAAAATATTTCAGAACTAATAATTTAGTTTTCTTAGAAGTAGACAAAAATTATTTATTCAATTTTTGAACTCGTGAAAGTGAAAACTTATTAAATAGTGGCTTATTTTGTATGGCGTGTTCATGATGTCGTATGACTATTAGGGATTACACTATTTGTAGAATATATTGTAAAGAAATTAACTGATAGTAAATTGTTTTCTTCATTCATAATATACAACAAGTTTTTAAGATAAGTGTATATTATAAAACAAAATGTATGCATGAATTTTGAAATACAGGAAAGAAATAAGCTGATAAATATTTATTTTCCAAGTTTATATCTTTGTATGAAAAAGAATAAAAGCTTTGTTTTTATTCACTATTTCAAAAACTATGTAAAGGACAACAAACAAACAATCTTAAGAGTATATTTATTCTTCCTCACTAAATACAGCCATATCTATATATTGAAGATGTACAACTAATGCAATCAATCAAAAGGATTTATGAAAAGTTTGTCTAGAACTTTTAATTATGATAATAAGCTTTAATGAAGGAAAGGTCTGATATTTAAAAGCATTATCGTTTAGATGGGTGTTGGTGTCTCAGTCGTTTTACATTATTATATTTGCATATATGTCGTTATTCAAAATAGTTTCTACATCAGAAGATGAAGAATTGTCGCTCAGCTATTTAATGCAGTCGTATGAAATAATACTATTGCTATTCAGATGCTAAAATCAACATTAGTTAGCCTTGTAATGAATGAAATAGGAACAAATACGAAGTAAAAATTAAATATCTGTCTTTCATCTAACTGATTCTTTGTGAAGGTATGAGTTTATTTCAATGTGAATGTAAATGAACAAAGGAAATTGAAGAACTGATGATCAAACATAACACACACGGACGTATATATATTTAGAAGCGAGAATAAGAAATAGACATGACTCAGGAATGTATGTATGATTTAAGAAACAAAGAGAATTAGGTATTCTACCTGAAGCATATGACATTTTTGAAAATTACCGACTATAGAATATTGTTTTCAGTTTTTTTCTGTTTATACTGTCGTTCAATTTTATGCTAATCTAGGAAGAAAGGAAAATTTGAATCTTGTTCGATTCTTGCTACTAGGGGTCGGACAGTCCAGTTTAGTTTAAAAAAACTGAAGTGTTAGAACAGTTCTTTTCATGAGAACCGTCCAAAATTATACCTAAAACAAAACAATATTACGCAATACCCGGAAGTATTATTCCCAAAATGGAACAAAACCGTTCTATTCTGGGAATAATATTTCTGAGTGTTGCGTAATATTGTTCAGCTTGGGAATAATTTCGGATAGTTCCTACAAGAAAAACTATATAACCCTTACTTCCGACCGAGCAAAAAAAGCAGAACGGAAAAAACACCAAAAAGTGGGTAAATTTTTTTATGCTGCAAATAAATACAGGTGTTTATCTTGTAGTTTCTCATTTTATTGTGAATACCGATCGTAAGTATTTTACATAGTATGATATTTATTTTATTTTTTCCTTAATTGTTCAAAATGTTTTGTAAATCTTGTACGATAAAATTATATGAGCTATTAAAGATCATATGTTATCACGTTTAGATGTAAGCAGTATTTCACTTAACAGCGTATAAATCATACATAAACTATTGCAAATTAGAAAAAATAATACGAATATTATTAAAAGCACTATAAGAGAAAGATTTATATTTGAAAATGAGAATTTTCGCGAAACCAATGATTACAATGTAGTTAAATAGTCTTGAGATCTTAATTATATATTATAGACTTTTCAAATTTTTTTCAAGATACTTCCAGAGGCAATGATCCGATCACTTGAAACAACAGGAAAGTTTGAAAAAAAACCATCATGAAAGTCAGTGTGGGTGATCCTATCTGAATCCGTGTCCACACTCAACCACACACAGATCCTCAATTTGTTCCAAAATGGATGACTGAATTTTGTAACACTTATCAAATAGTAGATAGAAAAATCAAAAACTAGATTTTTGAAAACGTTGAAGTAGCTAAATGGATATCACGAATGAATAAAATAGACTAATTCATCCAACAATAGAACTACTACGGACTCAGTAGGAATTACATGTAACTCTGAAATTCATAAAAACCTCTCTATTCTAGTATTAATTCTAACTTATATACTAGATATAATACAAAATGTTGTATAAACAAAAATATCTTATTCTTTAATGACATTTTGTAATCGCATATGTAACTGTAAGGCAACACGTTTCAGTTCACTTTTCTACTCTCTTATAAAAATATTAAAAACTATACTATTATTACAGAAATTTC